CCCAGTAGTTTTTACAAGAATCCTAGGAGGTTTATTTTCTTTTTTTATGAGGTTAATTTTTACTACCTCACTATTCGGAGGAGCAAACTGAGGCTGAGAGAGATGTATTTACATTTTGAGGACACTTGCCTAGCAGTGGGCACAGTCACTACTGTGCCAAAGAGGAGGCAGGGGTTCACTTAGTAAGCAGCTGGTCCAGGACCTGTTGGCTCTGGAGAAGGCTGGGTGGGGGGATATGAAGGTGGAGATTTGAGAGATGTTTACACCCAGAAAAACAGGGTACCCTGTATGTCACTACCTTCTCCAATGTGCCTTCCTGGAGGGCCCACATCCTGCAGGCCTCATATAGGTTGAGTTCCCTTTTTCTTGGCCAATTACAAAGCAGCTAGAAGTTAAAGGCTATTGAAATCTATGTATTGGGTATCAACTCTGTTTTTTGCGAAAAATAAGTCAGCTTTTGCCCTGTTACCTAATTAGACAAAAGGCTTTTGAGGCCTATATGCTCAGGAAACCCAGCAGAACATGTGAAATCTAATTACTTCACAGCTGCCCATCCTCTCCATGTGCATATCTCTGTACCTCAGGCTTTTGCAGCTCCTCTGATTCTCGGTATACTTTTCTTTTCTTTTTTCTAGTTGTGGAATTTCCACTCAGCCAGCTTTGCTGTGGTTCTGGATGATGTCTGTTTTGTCTTTTAGTTGTTCTTTTGAACTTGTTGTGCGAGGCAGCAGTTTAGGTGTTTACTTACGGCACCATTTTGATTTTTTGTCCAGAAAGGTATTCTTTAAGAAGAGGAAGAAGAAAAATATAAATATTATGAACAACAAAGGTAAAGATAAATATTATGAACAACAAAGAGATAACAAATACAGATCTATCAATAAGTGAATCTAAAAATCAAGTGAATAAAAAAACCTGAAGAACAGAATAAACTGGTGAGTATAATAGGATCAGGGGCATAGAAAGAGAGTGGACTGAAATTCTCTGGGGAAAGGTGTGTGGGAGTGCGGGAAGAGACTGTACAAAAACTGTACACTTATGGGTGAGTATATTGAGGGAGGTAAGTGAAGAGGGTGGGGTGGGAACTGGGTGGAGAGGAGCTAAGAGGGGAAAAAGAGGAACAACTGTAATAATCTGAACAATAAATATTTATTAAATTTTTTAAAAAGAGCCGGGACCGATTTGGCTCAATGGATAGAGCGTCGGCTTGGGGACTGAAGGGTCCCGGGTTCAATTCCGGTCAAGGGCATGTACCTTGGTTGCGGGCATATCCCCAGTAGGGGGTGTGCAAGAGGCAGCTGATCGATGACTCTCTCTCATCGATGATTCTAACTCTCTATCTCTCTCCCTTCCTCTCTGTATAAAATCAATAAAATATATTTTAAAAAAAAGAATAAAAGTATGGCATTTCCAAACAATAGGAATGTAGAAAGGTAATAAAAATTATATGAATTTTTCTATTGGAATGGTATATGATACTATTTAAGGATTGAATATAGTTTTCTAACCTTGAAGTTCCACCATAAATTTAACACCTCTTAGTATAAGGCCTGCCCCACTGGGATGTCTGTCCCCTCTCTGCACAAATTCATTTAAATGGCACTAAATGTTTACTCTGAGGAAAATTCTACAGAAAGACTTTCCTCTAGTTGTTTTCATGTTATAACACTTCACAGAAAGGAAACAAAAAAGTCAAGCCATGTGTCAAAACAACAAACCTCAAAGATGCATAAGAAACTACTATGCACCTTCAGGATTTTAAACAGTGAGAAACTCAGAGCTCAAGGAGGCAACACAGGGAGGTGATGAGATGGAGAGCATTAGCTGAAGAAGGACCAGGGAGATCACTAAGTGAAAGAGACCTGTGTTTCCCCTGCACTTTATTTTTTTTTTTAATATATTTTTTTTATTGATTTTGTACAGAGAGGAAGGGAGAGAGATAGAGAGTTAGAAACATCGATGAGGGAGAGTCATCGATCAGCTGCCTCTTGCACACCCCCTACTGGGGATATGCCCGCAACCAAGGTACATGCCCTTGACCGGAATCGAACCCAGGACCTTTCAGTCCCCAAGCCGACGCTCTATCCATTGAGCCAAACCGGTTTTGGCTCCCCTGCACTTTAGTCCCTCAGTGCCACACTAAGTTGAGTTCTAAAATTTATGGCCACTCTGCAGCCAGTGTGCAGTTTTCCTCAACAGAAAGCAGAGGCACTAACAGAGCTCTGCTCTGCACAGACTCCTGCCATCAGAGTTGTACCACAGAAGCAGCAGCCAGCTGTCCTGTGTTATGTGTTGATCAGCAAAGGACAAAACAGGAAGCTCATTGCAAAAGTGGGTCATGTGTCAATCTGTGGGATTCTGCACTTCTTACACTCAAACCCCTCCTAGCTCTGCTGGCCCCACCCACAGAGGCTGCTCTATATCTTTAGTCCACAAGACAGGGGAAACCAACTGCGCCTGAGACCCAGGGCCACAGCTGGATCTGTTCTTACAGTAGCCACAGCACTGGACTGGGTAAGTCAATGACCCCTTCCTGGGGTTGGAACAGAAGGATCAGAGGTGGGACAGCAACTGCCAGGGAATTGAGCTTGGGTTAGTACCCAGGACACAAGGCAGACTTTGAGGTTGGGGGGTGCTGAAGGGAAAGGAAATAGGACCTTGGTGACAGCAGGGGCCCTTCTGGGTGACAGATGAAGGGATGTGTGCAGGGATGCAGGAAATGCTTCTCTTTTGACAGGAAACATGGTTCCAACACAGCGGGATTCCCAGCTTTGTCTCCTTCTGCTGCTGGGGCTCATGGGAATGGTGATCTCCTTCCATGCCCCACCTGGGGGTCTAACCTGGGCTCAGTGGTTTGAAGTTCAACACATAAGCATGACCAATGCTCAATGCAACATTGCAATGCAACTGATTAACCACCTTAATTATATGAGTTTCCAGAGGCCATGCAAAGGCGAAAATACTTTCATCAAACAAATCACTTGCTGAAGTAGTTCAGGTCTGTAACACAACAAATATAACCTGCCGTAATGGACGTGGAAAACTCTTTAAAGGTCTGAAGGATTTTACATTAACAGTTGGAAGGAGGATAATAAAGAACATTATAAACTGATGAACCAAAAGATAGATATAAAGACAGTAAAGCAACAAGCAGACTGTCAAATTACAGTGGGGAGGGGAGGGAGATCTGGGGGAGATAAGAGATCAACCAAAGGACTTGTATACATGCATATAAGTACAACCAATGGACACAAAACTCTGGGAAGGGTGGGTATATATGGGAGCGGGGTGGGCAATGGTAAAATATGTACACAGATAATAACTTAATAAAAAAAAATTAAAAATGTAAAATAAAATAAGATTAAAAAAGAAGAAGAAGAAGAAGAACAGTTGGAAGAAAAAGAGGTTAAAGGTAGGGAGTCCATGAAGGAGGTTTTCTTGTGAGCGCTCCATAAGAAAACGAGATTCTGAATACGGGTATTGTAGCACCAATGGGAAGATAAGCATGGACTCAATAGGCAATTACCCCAAATTCCCCTTCTTCTTCCTGTGTATGGGACTCTTCACATAGAGTTTCCTTCTGGGGATGCCCTTACCATCCTCTTCACCTAACTTCTAATTAATGATCAAAACTCAGCTCAGGTGTTGTGACCTCCATGATCCCTCCTCTACTTCCCTGTTGTTTCCTCTATCAGAGCTATCAGTGATCTTTATATTTATTAATGTATAATGTATTTGTCTGTTCACCAGTCTTTAGAACATGAAATTAGAACATGAAATCTGAATAGCTCAGTATCTGTTCATTAGAACATGAAATCTGAATAGCTCAGTATCTGTTCTAATAAATGTCCACATAAATTAATAATGTATTCTAGTCTGTTGTTGGGACTTACAACATTACAAAGTAGGTAACAGGTATTAATCAGATTTACTTGGTATATTTTCTCTTAAGAAACTGAAATCATAGAACTTTAAAACACTGAAGCTTCAGATCAGAAAGGAAGCACACAATCCCACATCAGGAAGTGATCAGTTCCTCAAAAACAGATTTTTGAGTCACACTGTTTCTTTAAGTAAGCTTGCTCTTCCTGTGCCTCTTGCAATATTGATATGATTTTAAACAGCGAGTCTGAAGGTCTGCATATCTCATCCGTATTGCATACAAGAAGTTTATTTTCCACGCCCTCCTCTTTATTAAAGGCTCAGAACTTTTCCCTTGAGAAGGCCGGCAGCTCTGGAAGGCCTGTGGAAGAAACAGCCTACAAAAGCCTGGGGGTAACTACTGCTTCTGTTTCCAGTGGGAGCACCAAGGTGGGAAGCTGGTAAGAGAAGCCTCAGGGCTGGGGAGACTAGGACAGTGAAGGTGCTGGGAGATCCAAGTCAAATAGATAGAGGATAAATATTTCAGGCAGGAAGGGGAAACAGACAAGGTTTCTGACATGGGGCCGTCAAACCCATGAGCATAGGAAAGAGAAGAATCAGATCTGACTATTAAGAAGAAAGGTCATCTTCAAATTCCTTCTCACTGGGCTTCAGGCTTATCAGAGAATTGTATAAGACTCAAGTGAGAAAGAAGATGATTAGAAGAAAAAAAGAACTATGAAATCTTTAAAAAGCACAACAAAAATCTAAATGGTTATAAATAACAATTCTAATCTTATTGCTTACTAGAGATCTGATGCATGAAATCTGTGCACTGGGGTGGATGGTCCCTCAGCACAGCCTTCCCCCTCTCACAGTCCAGGAACCCTTAGGGGATGTGTGTGTGTCTTCAGGGGTGGGGGCCTTACAGGTCATGACTATTAAGGCTTGTAGCTGGTCATGACTGTAAGGGTGTCCCAGACAAATTTGCATATTACAGATAGATAGATAGATAGATAGATAGATAGATAGATAGATAGATAGATAGATAATAGATAGATAGATAGATAGATAGATAGATAGATAGATAGATAGACAGATACTACTACTGTTATCTTCCCTCTTCCTACACAGAAAAGATGGTGCTAGATCTCCTGAGACGCTTTACTCCTCTCCTATTGCTGCTGGGACTTTGGGGACCAGTCTATCCATCTTATGCTTTGCCTAAGAATCTCACCAAGGCTAAGTGGTTTGAAATTCAACATATACAATCAAGCCCTCTCCAATGCAACCAGGCAATGAGAGGTGTCAATAATTATACTCAACACTGCAAGCCTCTAAACACCTTTCTGCATGACTCCCTCGACAATGTGACTGATACCTGTAAGGAGAACAAGACTGTATGCAAGAATCGCCAGAACAATTGCCACCAGAGCCCAAACCCTGTTAACCTCACTAACTGCAATCTCACTGGAGGGAAGTATCCTAACTGCAACTACAAAGATACTCCCCAGACCAAGTTCTACATTATTGCCTGTGACCCCCCTAAGAAGACAGACCCTCTGAAACCTTTGGTTCCTGTACATTTAGATAAGGTTTTTTAAAGTTTTTACCATTTTGCCTCTCCCTTGGTACAGGTTCCTTTATGCTCTCCTGCCTTTTCTTTTGTTGATTCCCTGGTTCCCATGGAAGAAAAAAAGAGGAGGGTATTGGGAGAACTAGAGCGCCAAGGACACCTGACCAGAGTTGGTACAAAAAGAAATTATGATTCTTTCCTGCTTTGGAGCTCTGCATGTTTCAAAGGAAGGCACTAAGGAAGAGGGAAAAGAAGGGTCCAGACCTTCCTATTTTTTTAACCTGGGAACTTCTGTCAAGCTTTGTTATACTGCATCATCAGCAATAAAACCACTTTCTTCTGCATTCTAATGAGAATGAGTGAGATCTCTTTTGTTACCAGAAAAGGACTGACACAAAGGTGGGTAGGTCCCAGCACCCTTGAAAATAGGCACTACTAAGTGTCACAGGAAAAGAATTTCAGTACACTCACAAAGAAGGAATTTAGCCATAGTGGCAAGATTTATTTATTTATTTACTTACTTTTATCTTTATTGTTGAAAATATATAGATGTCCCATTTGTTTCTTTCCCATTGAACCCCTAACCCTACACCCACCCCTTCAAGGCCTTCACTACTCAATGTCTGTGTCCATGGGCTATGCATATCTACATATATAAAAGCCTAATTTGCAAAGTGTCCCCTCAGGAGTTTGACTGTTCAGTTCAATCACTTGCTATGACATGCACTGACCACCAGGGGGTGGTGTGGAATGAAAAAGGGCCCAGTCAGCACCCAGGGAAAGGAGGCTCTGGCCAGTAGCTGGCAGCCGCTAGGGATCCTACCGGTACACAAATTTTGTGCACTGGGCCTGTAGTTTGCAGATAAATTCCCAGGTGAATCACTCCCCACCATTCCCCCAACCTCCACCTTTCCTCTAAAACTCATTAGTTTTGTTCCATGCTCTATATCTCTGGATCCATTTTGTTCATCAGTATATTTTGTTCATTAGATCAGTGGCAAGATTTATTAGAGGAACAAGTGACAGTAAGCTTTCAGAGAGGCAGAGAGAGCAGGAAGGCTATAAGGGAGTGGCTACGTGGACTCAGAAAAGGAAGTTACAGAGGCAAGATCATCCTCTGCTCTGTTTGCTGCTCCCCAGATGCAAGTCTCCCGGGGACCCTTAGAGCTTAGGAAAAAAGAAGGCAAAAGTTACATGCCCAAGAGAAGGAAGAATAGGGGTGTGCTCCAAGGAGGACATGCACTGTGTTCTTTGCCTAGGTTCCATACATTCCCTTGAGTTTGGGAAAGCCCAGGCTTTCTTTCAGACCACCCAACCCCTTTCCAGGCTGTGTTCGTGCCCTCCCACACCCACTGTCTTTTTTGGGTTCTTGGGGGCCTGAGCACTTCCTCAATCCAAACCTTTCCTAGACTTTCCCAGGCTAGTGCCTTCCCTTGATGGTCACCATTTTGGCTCCTACTATACATGCCTCACAGTTCTACTTCATCACTTGGCTTCTATTGGACTTGCACTATGTAAAAGGATTCCCCCTTGCTGCTTGCCTCCCTTCCCTCACCCCCTATTAATCCAGTAAAATTATGTCATTTACTCTTTGAGATTACTTGAAAGCTATCTTTCCTGCCTAGTCAACTTGGCAGGATGTTTTGCTCTGTTTTGGCAGAACAATGCCAATTACTCCCCAGGTGACTGTTCCATTCATCCCCTCCTCTTTTGTTATTATCTAACTGCATGCTCTAATACTTTCACACCATTGTCAGCCTAGAGAGAGTTAGGCTTGCATTTGCCAGTTTTCCAAGGAGAACAATGTTAGCTCTAGGTCAAACCTGTCAAACTCAAAAGCTAACAAGGGACAAATAAACAAGGTGTATGTTTATGTGGGCCACAAAAGAACAAAAGCTTCCATTTTCATAGAAATATAGGTTTATTACGATAGAGACATGCTGAATACAAAGGGCTGAAATAAATGAGTAATTTTTAACAATAAAATGATAGCCGAAACCGGTTTGGTTCAGTGATAGAGCATCAGTCTGCGGACTGAAAGGTCCCAGGTTCGATTCCGGTCAAGGGCATGTACATTGGTTGAGGCACAGCCCCGATAGGGGATGTGCACGAGGCAGCTGGTCAATGTTTCTCTCACATCAACATTTCTAGCTCTCTATCTCTCTCCCTTCCTCTCTGTAAAATATCTATAAAAAATTTTTTAAAAAACAATAAAATGATAGAACACTTTAATAAAAATTAATATATTTCTGGAACATTAACTTACCAGACACTGAATAACTGCACAAATTAATAAGCATAATGCAAATAAAACTATTTTTCTTTCTCTCTGAAAGTGAAATACTTCCTGTTGTACATACTAAACAAGTTGGTCCAAGACTAATGACACGGCATTCGGCTGCTAAAATATTCTCTGCTAGTATTAGTGCAGAGAAATGGTGCGTTTGTGTGGTAAGGCACATAAGGGAAATGAATGCAACACAATGGTAGTAATCAGTCATTAGTGTACATTGTAGTTCATTATTAATAACTATATATAACAGGATATTATAAAAATTAAGTTATGAAATTTTTATTAAAATGTTTCTTACAGACTGTTATATTGGCTGGGCCACAAAAATATTTGTTGTGGGCCACATGCAGCTCGTGGGTCACAAGTTTGACATCCTTGCTGTTGGTATAGGAGAGGAAAAGAATTATTTTCTCTATTCTTCTAGCTTCTTGGCTGAGAAAGCTCTGTAATAAAAAGACAGATTAATAAGAGGAAACATTTTAAATCATAGAGACACATGTGAGCCCCACAAAAATATGGGACTCAAAAGGTGGCAGAGGATTGAGCCTTATACACCATCCTTAGCTAAGAAACTGGGTAGGGGTCTGGGACTTCAAAAGAGTAGCAGACAATTCACAGGAAGGGGAGAAGGTAAATGTATGGTAGACAAAGGTTGCTGTGTGATGTAGGTAAGTCTCCCAAATGAAAAAGGAATCTCCGGTATTAGCTTTTTCATGGAACAGACCCCCCTTTTCTATAAATTTCCCTTATAAAAGGGGACCTTCCACTCTGTTTTCAGAGCTTCTTCTGTGTGTGCAGTTCCTCAAAGTAATAACCTAAAAATAATTTTTTATTCCAAAGAGGTATATTTTGGGGTGGCATATTCCGCTCTCTTTCACAGGTGATTTTCACAGAGGGAGTTTCAGTTTCTTTGTCAACCTCTAGACTTATTGGGCAATAACCCCTGTGGTTAAAAGGATAACATAATTCAACATGCTTTGTAGAGTGGTCAGTCTTTGAGTGGCACCAGAAGACAATGCATATTAGAAAGGCCAAATATTGAGGTAGTTACAAGTCTGTCAATCACCAGTGTTGCAGAAGGTTCTTTCCAAACCAGACTATTCCTTCATAGTTGTCCTAATTGGGCTCACCTTCCTTTATGCCACACATTTATGTCATATCTTACGAACAAAGACTGAAATATGACATTTTAGGTTTCAGGTGCCTGGGATCCAAGGATGATGGATATTCAAGGAATCGAGGGGGAGGCGGGGGAGGAAGAAAAAAAAAAAAAAAAAACAGGCCAGGGCCACTTGACACCTGAAAAGGTGGATACCCAGTAGGGGTGATAACAGAGAAGAGTGTGGGTCCACTCTCCCAGTTGTTGCTATGATATCCCAAGAAAAATAATTTTCTGAGACTAGCACAGGAAAATGAGTGATTTTTATTTCTGTGGAATCAACATCACTTGTTTTCCAAAGTCCCATTTCCCTTAGGCTTGTTATAGAAGAAACATCTCTATGAGAAAGAGAGAGAGAGAGAGAGAGAGAGAGAGAGAGAGAGAGAGAGAGAGAGAGAGAGAGAGAGAGAGAGAGAGAAGTATAGGTATAGGTATAGGTATAGGTATAGGTATAGGTATAGGTATAGGTATAGGTATAGGTATAGGTATAGGTATAGGTATAGGTATAGGTATAGGTATAGTATATATAAATGGGGTTTCATTAGAGCTAAAATCAGAGTCATTGTCCTGAATGTCCTTTCCAGATCAGCATCAGTGTGTGTGTGGGGGGGGGGGGGGGGGGGCGGGGGGGGGGGGGGAGTCCACATGGCTGTTGGCCATGGGAGAATGTCAGGAAGCCAAGCATGAGTCTTGAGCCAAGCATGCCAAGAAGAACTAAGAGTAAACTTCTTTGTTTACGAGATTGCAAATTCCAAATCTTCATGTCCTATCAATGGCCATGTCCATTCTCATCAATGATCTCTATCCCCAGGTGTGACTGGTAGGCAATCATCTTCCCTTTGCCAGCCCAACTTTACTGGGTATGCATCTATCTTCCCTATGTGGTATCTTCCCCCAGTGTTTGCAGAAAATATGCCTATAATGTCTCCCCTTCCCTTTGCTCCTCCCTGTTATTAACACTAGCTAATTACAATGGTTTCAGGGTGAACTCAATGGTTTTGAGTTCTCCAATATAGAACAGTAGTATTAGTCTTTGAAAAATTAGCCTTCGATTTTGTTAAGTTTCTGGTCAGTTATTGAATCCTTTAAAACCTATTCAAATATAATTTCATAATCTTTTTATTGCAATAACCTTTTAAAATTTTCCACCTTAATGGACGTCTCTAACTTTCCTTCTACATGTTAAAATTATCCTGTTGCCGGCACCGGTTTGGCTCAGTGGATAGAGCATCGGCCTGCGGACTGAAAGGTCCCGGGTTCGATTCCGGTCAAGGGCATGTACCTTGGTTGCGGGCACACCTCCAGTGGGGGGTGTGCAAGAGGCAGCTGGTCGATGATTCTCTCATCGACGTTTCTAGCTCTCTATCCCTCTCTCTTCCTCTCTGTGAAATCAATAAAATATGTTTAAAAAAATTAAAATTATCCTGTTAAAAATTATCCTGTTAATTAACCTAGTTAACACTTGTAATACCAGAAATTAAAATAGCTAATTCAAAAGTCTAAAGTTATATTTCTGTATATCCATTTTTGTTCTTAAGTGTGAGGCCTGTTAATTAACCTAATTATCATCTGTAAC